ACAGAGGCATGGTACAATCCTGTCCTATTTCTGTAACACTTGAGGATACAATTGAAAGGGTGTTATTGAGACTTGAGTCTACTTTTCCAGCAGAGGGCCAGGGCTCGAAGGATGGTATGTAAAGAAATGCATTTTCTTAGGATTTCCTTCCATTAGTGGCACAGTTCTAAGTATTGGCTGTGTTCATGAACAACAGCTACAAACCATTTGAAAATTGGGGAGAGGGAGCAGGAAGAGAAAACAAAACCAAAACAAAAAAACAAAGACCATATTCTACATATCAATTCATACAGAAGAGCTGACTGAGTAAAGTCAAGTAAGACACAACCTAACAATGTTTTATCATATCTGTTATGTTTGAATGTAATGCCAAAGTTGTGTTTGATTTTGCTTTCAAGTGCTGTGGTTATATTACATTAAAATGTAGTACTAAGAAGGTGGCAAACAATGATTTGGAAACAACAAATCTGTAATCAGTGCTTAGAAAGGTCACTGATGACTTTTTCTCAGACTTGGGTTTGTGTGGCTTACCTAGCTTTTCTGTTTCTGGTATCTCTGCTATATTCCTCTGGCCTCAGGATACCACAACAAACTTGATTCCCTGCTATGTCCCAGTCTTTCCTCTTCTCAGTCTTTTGTTATTGCCGTTTATCCCAGATCATGGTCTTCATTTGTCTGAAACACTTATTTATTTATTTGTCGGTTGTGAACTCTGGGCCTTGGCGCTGTCCCTCAGCTCTTCAGCTCAAAGCTAGCTCTCTACCACTTGAGCCACAGTACCACTTCCGGTTTTCTGAGTGCTTTATTGGAGATAAGAGTCTCATGGTTTTCCTACCGAGGCTGGCTTTGATCTGCGATTCTCAGATCTCAGCCTCCTGAGGTAGCTAGGATTACAGGCGTGAGCCACTGGTGCCCAGCTTTATTTATTCTTTGTACATTTTTTATTGTAAAAGTACTGTACAGAGGGGTTACAGTTACATGAACAAGGTCATGAGTACGTTTCCTATCGAGCATTGTTTCCTCCTCCTTTGTTTTTTCCCCTACCATTCCTTCCCTCCCACCTCCACAACTACACTCGCCCCCCCCCCCCCTTTGTCTGTAACACTTCTTTGGTGACTTTTTTGATGTTTGTTTTCAGTCCTAGGGAATAAACCAGAGTCTCTTCCATAATAGACAAGCACTCTACACTGAGCTGCATATACCCCAGCTCAAAACTTTTCTGAGGGGCTGAGAATGTGGCTTAGTGGTGGAGCGCTTGCTTACATGAGTAAGTCCTGGGTTCAGTTCCTCAGCACCACATACACAGAAAAGACTGGAAGTAACACTATGGCTCAAGTGTAGAGCGCTTGCTCTGAGCTGAAGAGCTTGGGGACAGTGCCCAGGCCTTGACTTCAAGCCACACCACCACCAAGAAAAAAAAAAGTAAAAATCAGAAAAGTTTTTGTTGTTGTTGTTTCCTTTCTTTGCCAGTCCTGGAGCTTGAATTCAAGGCCTGAGCACTGTCTCTGAGTTTCTTTTGCTCAAGGCCATTGTTCCACCACTTGAGCCACAGTGCCACTTTCAGTTTTCTGGTGGTTAATTAGAAATAAGAGTCTCACAGCCTTTCCTGTACTGTTAAATACTACGCACATGCCAGTAATCCACACACACATAAAATTTTCAGATGAGTTTGGTGCTGAATTTAACAATGGAAATTCTTAAAAGTGGGGTTGGAGGCGTGGCTCAGTTGGTAGAATGCTAGCCAGTGAGTGAAAGTGGCAGGTCCTGCGTTCAAGTCCCAGAATTTGACCTAAAAAATAAGGAAAAGGAATTTCTAAGAGTCTTAACTCCCGTCGTTTTGGCAATCATTTTTGACAGTCCAGGCTGTGACATCTTTCCAGCATACCCTCCTTCCCTTTGAAGTGTTTATTTGAATATTTAAAAATAATTAGAAGGAGGAGCTGGAAGGTGGCTCAGTGGTAAAACACTTGCCTTGCATGCGTGAGGCCCTGGGTTTGATTCCTCAGCATCACATAAGCAAAAAGAAAAAAGCTAGAAGTGGCACTGTGGCTCAAGTGGTAGAGTGCTAGCCTTGAGCTGAAGAGCTGAGGGACAGCGCCCAGGCCCAGAGTTCAGGCCCCACGACCGGACACCCCCCCCCAAAAAAAAAAAAAATAGAAGGAACAGTATGTGGTGGTGAAGTGTAATCAACTCCAATATTTCATTCTTTGTTCACAGCGGAAGTATAAAAGACTTATGTCCAGGAAAACTTAGAAAACTAGACATGATATATGTGTGTATGTACCATGATAATAATTATGCTGGGAGAAATTAGGTGCTGGCTTCTACATAATTTTTATCTTTTTTGGTCAGTCATGGAGCTTGAATTCCAGGCCTGGACACTGTCCCTTAGCTCTTCAGCTCAAGGCTAGAATTCTACCACTTGAGCCACAGCACCACTTCCGGCTTTTTCTGTTTATGTGGTGCTGAGGAACTGAACCCAGGGCTCATGCATGCAAGGCAAGCACTCTACCCCACTGAGCCATCTTCCCACCCAACATATTTATTTTTTCTTAATAGCAGTGGAGAGCATACGTTTCTCTCTGCCTCTCTCCATACATTTGCCAAATCAGTTCCTGCATCAGGACAGATTTCTGTTGCTTAACCAGTAATGTGAGATAGAAATAGAGAAGCATTGAATCTGAGTAGGTAAGGGCTAATCTCAGTGTTGGACTGAAATTTATGTCTGATCCACCTATTTAGGTAGTTTTAGATAAAGCTTGAGAAGTATGATTTTTTTTTTCCCATTGTTCTTTTTGAGGACTTGAGTTTTCCACCCCAGATACTGGCTTTCTAACACTCTGGATTTGTCCTATGCCTCGAGCCTTGTTCATTCTTATTCATTGGTCATCTTCTTTCTGACTTGGAGCCAAGTGGCCTATGTGACTTTTTAGGTCTTACTCATTGCTTGGCTTTCTCCCCCCGCCCCAACCCTATCATCCTAGACTATTTTGTGATGCTGATGGTTTTGTTTTGTTTCAGTGGGGCCATGGTTTTTCTTTTGTATATTGTCCATATGCTGACAACTCATAAATCTGTACAATTAAAAAGTGTCTACATGGAGTATTCTTAATGTGGAGCCCACTTTGGCCCTGAATTCACTTTTTTGTCCTAGCTGGGCTCAAATGTACTCTCCTTTTGTTTCTGCCTTCTTAGTGCTGGGATTGTAGGCCTGTGTCAATATCACTGGCAGCCATAGCCCTGAAATATTCTCCTTTCACTTCAATGTGATTAGAAGTGTGGGAAGAGACAAATCATGTTAATTTTCTTTATTGATCTGGAGTTTTAGGTTTGAACCCAGGCTTTCCCCCTCCCCGCCTTTTCTTTCTTGGTACTTGTTCTGGGGCTTGAATTCTTCAGGGCCTGGGCACTGCCCCTGAGCTTTATTTATTTATTTATTTTAATTTTTTTAATTTTTTTGGTCCGGTCGTGGGGCCTGAACTCTGGGCCTGGGCGCTGTCCCTCAGCTCAAAGCTCAAAGCTAGCGCTCTACCACTTGAGCCACAGCACCACTTCCACTTTTTTGTCTTTAGGCTTATGTGGTGCTGGGGAATCGAACCCAGGGCCTCATGCATGCAAGGCAAGCGCTCTACCACTGAGCCACCTTCCCAGCCGCCCCCCCCTCCCCACTCGAGCTTTATTGTGTCCAAGGCTAGCACCCTACCACTTGGGTCACAGCTCCAGTTGTTCTTCTGGTTTTTGGTGGTAGTTAATTGGATATAAGAGTCTTCTAGGCTTTCCTGCTGCTCTTAGCCTCCTGAGTATCTAGGGGGATTACAGACACAAGCTATCTGTGCTAGGCTTTGAATGTATTTTTATTCTTAAAAAAAAAAAAAATCTTTATCTCAGCTTTAGCATCCACATTTTAAAAAAGTAGTCAAAACTTACATTGACCCCTCACACTTCAGCCTAAGGTTTGTTTATGTGACAGTGTCTAACATAGAGACTTTCATCATAGTCCTGAGCTAAAGACCCAGACTGTCCTCTGAATGGGTATCAATTAGTTTACGTTCCTAAAACATCTAGAGTTAACTTCTTTAAAAATGATGTTATATAGCATACATTTTAGATGTAAAAGTTCATAAACCTAAACCTCAGGAAAAATGTGTAATTTTCTCCACATTCTCTGAGGGGACCTGAAAAGACACCTTTTTTCATTGCTGTTTTCCTTCCTGCAATCCTGCAAGCCCTTCTTTACCTTTTCAAGCCTCTGTTCTTTCTTTTAGCTAGGTGTCAGTCATGGTAGATACTAGGGGATGAATTAAATATATCTACCCAGGCACTTAGAGTAGAATCCTGTTGCTCTTGCTTCATTTCATTTCTCTGAGCTTTAATGGGGGGGGGGGGGAGCTAAAATGAGATTGTTCCTCCTGCGTGGTGAGACAGTCACGCGTGCAGGGAATACTGCATAGAAACACCGCCACCTTCGCAGTCATGCTAGTGAAATAATTTATTTTGGGTCTTTTATTAGCTTTTTAAAAATCCCCACCAAATTGTGTGTATTTTTTCCTACTGTGATTATAAATTTATTGAATGATCCTGGGTAACAAGAAGAAAATAAGCATCCAGATACTCCATTTTAAATCTTTCCATGCAGTTTTTCAGGAGAAAATTTAGTTTCGAAGCTTTGGATGTTTATTCTTGAATTTTGTGTCCCGATATAGTTGTGCTTATATTTTTATTTTTATTTTTCCTTTTTTTTTCTTTTTGAGGGTGGTGCTAAGGATTGAACCTAGCGCTTTATGGGTGGTAGGCAAGAATTCTACCACTTAGCTATAATTTCAGCCCCTTAATCTCAGTATTCTCTGGTTAGGAAACCAGTTAGAGCTGTTGGATATGAACACTAGACAATGTCATATCAAAGTGGGTTGGTATTTATTCAGTGAAAACATATAACAGTAATTAAAGACATTTTTGAATGCTTGGAAATTTAAAAACTTTTTTTTTTTCTTTTTTAACAGGATGGCTTAAATTCCTTGGTCCTTGATTTGGATTTTCCTGCTTTAAGGAAAAATAAGAATATAGATAATTTCTTAAATAGATGTAAGTATGCTTGTTTTTAATCATATATTCATCAAATAGTTGTACTTTTGCTAGGATATTTGTTTGATATTTTGGTGCATAATAGATGTAAGTATGCTTATTTTTAATCATATTTCATCACATAGTTGTACTTTTGCTAGGATATTTGTTTGATATTTTGGTGCATAAATTTATTAGCTTGGTTAAGTATTAGCTCATTAACTTATTTATTTTTGTTGGTTGTGGGGCTTGAACTCTGGGCCTCCGTGCTGTCTTGAGCTCTTCAGTTCAAGGCAAGTGCTCTGCCACTTGAGCCAAAGCGCCACTTTTGATTTTCTGATGGTTAATTGGAGATCGGAGTCTGGGCATTATAGACATGAGCCTCTGGCACTGGGCTAGCTCATTAGCTTATTAAGCAAGGTGTTTTGTTCATGTTTCTTTTTAGAAGTTAACCCTTTGTTCTTGTTTAAACCGGTATTCCTTTTTTTGTTTTTGGTCGGTGGTGGGGCTTGAACTCTGGGCTTGGGTGTTGTCCCTACGCTCTTCAGCTCAAGGTGAGTGCTCTACCGCTTGAGCCACAGTGCCACTTCCGGTTTTTTAGTGGTTTATTGGAGATAAGAGTCTCACAGACTTTCCTGCCTAGGCTGGCTTTGAACCTCGATCCTCAGATCTCAGCCTCCTGGGTAGCTAGGATTACAGGCATGAGCCACTGTCGCCCAGCTTAAACCAGTATTCTTTCAAAGAAAAAGTACAAAATGAAATTGCAATGTGTAAAGTACATAAAGTTCAAAATTTTATATAATTATTAAAACTAGATACTTTCGGACAAATTATATATGGCTTTTCCAAGAGAAGCTTTAAATAAATATTGAGATCTCTCATACTTTTTTTTAATCTCACACTTTTATATTACTTAGTAATCTTTTTTTTTTTTTTTTGTTGGTCGTGGGGCTTGAACTCTGGGCCTGGGCGCTGTCCCTCAGCTCTTCAGCTCAAGGCGAGCGCTCTACCACTTGAGCTATAGCGCCACTTCCGGTTTTCTGGTGGTTTATTGGAGATAGGAGTCTCACGGTCTCTCCTGCCCGGGCTGGCTTTGAACCACGATCCTCAGATCTCAGCCTCCTGAGTAGCTAGGATTACAGGCGTGAGCCACCAGCGCCCGGCTCTACTTAGTAATCTTTATGTTTCTATATATGTGGGAATTTAAGGAAAAATAATTTGATGACAATTACTAGAAGATATGTGGTTATCTTTAATATATGCTAGTATTGGTGTTGGGAATAAATTGAATTCTTAGAATGAGAAATTCTTAAAATGATTGATACATGCTTTTTATCACCATATATACTTTTTACTTTGGAGTTGACAAATTAGTTAATTAATGGGGGATATTTCCCCCACTAAGCACTCTTGTCTGTAGTTACTGTACATCATGAAATACATAAGTCATCCTTAAAAAAAAAAATAGGCTGACAAGATTTATTACTAAGATTAGCCTTGAGGGTAACTTCATAGCAGCGGCCTGCTGTGTCTGCAATGCATACTAGATTACCTGGGTCCTCACTTTTACTTGCCAAGCAACAGAGTGAGAAACAAAGTAGCTTAATTGTTGCTTTTTGCCAGTTAATAGTCTTCATGTAACCATATTAAACTGTGGAGTGACATGGAGGCTCACAAAATCCTGGCTACTTAGCATGCTGAGATCTGAGGATCTCAGTTCAAAGCCAACCTTGGCAGGAAAGTCCATGAGACTCTTTTTTTATTTTTTATTATTTTTTGGGGTCCGGTCGTTGGGGCCTGAATTCTAGGCCTGGGCGCTGTCCCTCAACTCTTCAGCTCAAGGCTAGCACTCTATCATTTAAGCCACAGTGCCACTTCCAGCTTCTTCTTTTTGCTTATGTGGTGCTGAAGAATCGAACCCAGGCCTCATGCATGTAAGGCCAGCCCTCTACCACTGAGCCACCTTCCCAGCCCAAGTCCATGAGACTCATCTCCAGTTAACCACCAGAAAACTGGAAGTGGCGCTACAGCTCAAAGTGGTAGAGCGCTAACCTTGAGCAAAAAAGCTCAGACAGAGCCCAAGCTTCATGACTGCGCGTACCCCCCCCCCCCCCCCATAGCAAAAACCAAAAAAAATCACAAACAAAAAAAAGTGTGGAGTGTTCTGGTTCTCTGATGTTAGTTAGAATAATGTTTATCTTAGAATCTTAAAATAGGAGCCTTTAAATGCCATTTTGTAAATGAAGTCCATTTGTGAAGTAAAAATAGGCTTACAAATTTGGTGATTATTTTAAAATACTGCTAATAAGTATGATGACTGCTATTACAAATATGATATTTTTATTGTAGATGAGAAAATTGTGAAAAAAATCAGAGGTTTACAGATGAAAGCAGAAGACTATGATGTGGTGAAAGTAATTGGAAGAGGTGCTTTTGGTGAAGTCCAGTTGGTAAGAACATAGGATTTAACTGTGGTTTAAGATTTCTTTTTTCTTTGACTTTTTTTTTCTTTTGGTTTGGTGAAACATTTTAATTAGTAGCAGCTTAATAGATGTTACCTGAACAGTCATGCTTTAAGTTTGTTTACTGACCTTAGTCATATCACCGTCTGAGGGCTGTGTTACTCTCTGTAAGAGGAGGCAGTTGTGTTCCTAACCATGTTCTGCCAACTCTGAAACATTGAGAAATACAACTTTGTTTCTACATAGGACTTGTTAGCAGTTAATCTTCCAACACAACTGTGTGTATGTGTGTGTGTATTGTACCAGAACAACTCTGTGTGTGTGTATGTGTGCACTGGTCTTGCAGTTTTAAATCAGCCTGGGTTCGGTTTTGAGGTTTTTTTTTTTTTTGGTCTGGTCGTGGGCCTGAACTCTGGGCCTGGGCGCTGTCCCTCAGCTCTTCAGCTCAAGGCCAGCGCTCTACCACTCGAGCCACAGCGCCACTTCCGGCTTTTTTCTTTTTGCTTATGTGGTGCTGAGGAATCGAACCCAGGGCCTCATGCATGCAAGGCAAGTGCTCTACCACTGAGCCCCGAGTTTTTTTTTTTTGTTCAAGGCTATTGCTCTGTCACTTGAGCCACAGCTCCACTTCCAGCTTTTTTTTTGTAGTTTATTGTAGTATTTTCCTGCCTGGGCTGGGTTTGGACCATGATCCTTAGATCTCATTTTCCTCCTGAATAGCTAGGATTATAAGCACGAGCCACTGGGCACTTGGCACAACTTGTTTTTTTGTTTTTGTTTTTGGTCAGTCATGGGGCTTGAACTCTGGGCCTGGGCGATGCCCTTCAACTCAAGCCTAGCGCTCTATCTATTGAGCCAGTGCCCCTTCCAGTTTTCTTAGTGGTTTATTGGAGATAAGAGTTTCACAGACTCTTTTGTCTGGGCTGGCTTTGAACCACAATCCTCAGATCTCAGCCTCCTGAGTAGCTAGGATTACAGGTGTGAGCCACTGGCACCTGGCATTTGTCTTTTTTTTTTTTTTTTTGTCGGTCATGGGGCTTGAACTCTGTGCTTAGGCGCTGTCCCTCAGCTCTTCAGCTCAAGGCGAGCGCTCTACCACTTGAGCTACAGCGCAACTTCCGGTTTTCTGGTGGTTTATTGGAGATAGGAGTCTCACGGTCTCTCTTGCCCGGGCTGGCTTTGAACCGCGATCCTCAGTTCTCAGCCTCCTGAGTAGCTAGGATTACAGGCGTGAGCCACCAGCGCCCGGCGCATTTGTCATTTTTAATGTTACATTATTTGCTGTTCTGTATTGATTTGATTGTTGTATATATATATATATATACACACACACACACACATATATATATGTAGAGAGAGAGAGAGAGAAAGGCTTTTATTTTTGTTGTTGCTATTCATTTTCCATTCCAGAATTGGTATTGGCCACAAAAAATGAAACAAAGTCATGTGTTTTTAAAAATGAAAAATATTTTAACATTCCATTAATCTGATGGCCTGACATAAGAGCTTGTGGCATGTTTGTTTTGGCTTTACTTCTTGGCTCTTACTACCTTAGGCAAGAATGCTTTAAAAAGGAAGTATAACATAAGGAAAAATCCAAGTATTTCTACCACCTTAGCTTTCCAAAGTTGATTTGTATGTAGTAAATTAGTATAGTAGACATGTAGGGAGAATGTTCCACATTTGATACATCTTTAGGATTATGTTTTTTTTTTTTTTTAGTTAGATAAAGCCAGCCTGATAGTATGTAATGTAAATTTGTCTTTCCTTAGGAAGTGCTTTATCTGGCCCAGTTAAAAAATATTACCACAATTAATTTCAACAAAGTTCTTAACGTAAAAAATCATTTTAGTGGGGCTGGGAAGGTGGCTTGGTGGTAGAGTGCTTGCCTTGCATGCATGAGGCCCTGGGTTCGATTCCTCAGCACCACATAAGCAGGAAAAGCCGGAAGTGGCGTTGTGGCTCAAGTGGTAGAGTGCTAGCTGAAGAGCTAAGGGACAGCACCCAGGCCCAAAGTTCAAACTCTACAACTGACAAAAAACAACAACAAAAAACCCAAAAAAAATTATGAAAAAAAGTGTTGATTTATCTTCAATGGGTGTCTATATTTTATCCTGATTATTTTCATTTTAGAAATGCTAAAAACTTTTGCTGCTAAATTATGGAAATTTCGCCCCTGATATTAAAAATTGTTTTATATATACTATAATGTTCAAAGTAGAATGAGAAAGTAATTTAACAATTTATCTTTTATAATTTGCCTGGTTTGAATATAACTTTCTCAATTCTTCATTCTAAAGGTGTGTATGTATATATGTATATATATATATGTATATATATATATATATATATGATTATATTATGTCCATAGTTTTATAAGTTATGTTTTTTAAATGCAACAACAAATAGTAACATACACTGTTATAGCAATTACATCCTATGAGGCCACCTTCTGAATAATTTGCATATTCAGCAGCCAGTTTCATCTTGGGAAATTAGAATTGTTGGTCGTGGGACTTGAACTCTGGGCTTGGACGCTATCCCTCAGCTCTTTAGCTCCAGATGCTTGCTATTGCTTGAGCCACAGCGCCACTTCCAGTTTTCTAGTTGTTTATTGGAGATAAAGAGTCTCACGGACTTTCCTGCCAGCTCAGACGGGTAGGAAAGTCCAGGCTGGCTTTGAACCATGATCCTCAGATCTCAGCCTCCTGAGTAACTAGGATTACAGGCGTGAGACACTGGCGCTAGGCTGAGAAATTAGAATTCTTAATTTCTTCTCAGCTTTTCCTCTATGAATCCATTCCTTCTGTTATCTGCCTTGTAGCAGTAAACTAGTTGCTCAAGCCCAAACAGAACTAAACAAACACAAGAAAGAAAAGAGCTTAAAACAGATAGGATTGATTTCTTTTTTTTTTTTTTTTTTGTCGGTTGTGGGGCTTGAACTCTGGGCCTGGGCGCTGTCCCTCAGCTCTTCAGCTCAGGGCGAGCTCGCTACCACTTGAGCTACAGCGCCACTTCCGGTTTTCTGGTGGTTTATTGGAGATAGGAGTCTCACAGTCTCTCCTGCCCGGGCTGGCTTTGAACCGCGATCCTCAGATCTCAGCCTCCTCAGTAGCTAGGATTACAGGCGTGAGCCACCAGCGCCCAACTAGGATTGATTTCTTTATTCCACCCCTTCCTCTATTGAGTTAAAGAACCTGGACTTCTAGATCTAATCTAACACAAACTGCTCCTACTCTGAATTTATCTGTGAGATACATTCATGATTTCACCCTCTGTGTAATGGATCTTTCACCTACTAAATGAAATATGAAATCCTCTTTTATGATCGCACCAATGTTACCTTTTTAACCCTTGTCTTCTACCTTGCTATTCATCCTAAGTAGGTCACTTATTTCTGAGCATGCTTTGTTTTCCTGTTCTTTTTTTTTTCAGTCACACATTTCAATGCCAGTGCTTATTTTGAAAGAAAACTTTCTAAGGTGTGGCTCAAGTGGTAGAGTACCAGCCTTGATTGAAAAAGCCAAGTGAGATCTTAAGGCCCTGAATTCAAGCCTCACTACTGACATGTAACCCCCCCCCCCCCACACACACACACACACTCACAGAAGACAGAAAACAAAAGCTAAGTGAGATCTTAAGGCCCTGAATTCAAGCCTTACTACTGACATGTAAACCCCCCCCCCCCCCCCACACTCACAGAAGACAGAAAACTTTCCTAGTTTTTACTCTTCATTCTTTGATTCTACCTTTCATGTGAATGAAACTTCTCTGTGCAATATGTAGTTACAGTTAGTTTATTTTAGTTACTGTATCTTACATTGCACTTTTTATCTTTAATTCCTCCTTTGATTCTGTCAGTTTTTGTTTTTGTTTTTCTTTTTTTGTTGGTCATGGGGCTTGAATTCTGGTCCTGGGCGCTGTCCCTCAGCTCTTCAGCTCAAGGAGAAGAGCTCCAGCGCCACTTCCGGTTTTCTAGTGGTTTATTGGAGATAGGAGTCTTAGGGTCTTTCCTGCCTGGGCTGGCTTTGAACCGCGATCCTCAGATCTCAGCCTCCTGAGTAGCTAGGATTACAGACATGAGCCACCTGTGCCCAGCGTTGATTTGGTTGGTTTTTTAAGGGCAAAAACTGTATCTCTCAAGTACTTAGGAGAGTCTCATCAGAAATTAATGGCTTCTCATCTAAAATAGTTCGCCCATATCTGATAATACAATCTTTAATATGTATACAACTTTAGAAAGACTATCTAGAATGGCAGAGACAAAGGCAACCCTTACTGTGTAGCCATTTCTTGGTTCATCCCTGCATATTGGTAATCAGTATGTATTCATATCTGATTTTGAATTTTTGTTGTCTTTTTAAATCCTATATAGTATAGATAGAACCTTGGACATAGAAAGTCTTCATTGAAGTGTTGTCTGTGGTCCTTGATCCCAGGACTCAGGATGTTTTCTGGGCACCTCCTGACTTGTTTTTTTTTGGGTCCGGTCGTGGTGCCTGAACTCTGGGACTGGGCGCTGTCCCTCAGCTCTTCAGCTCAAGGCTAGCACTCTACCACTTGAGCCACAGCACCACCTCCGGCTTTTTTCTTTTTGCTTATGTGGAGCTGAGGAATCGAACCCAGGGCCTCAGGCATGCAAGGCAAGCACTCTACCACTGAGCCATCTTCCCAGCCCCCTGACTTGTTTTTAACGTGTGTGTGTGCGCACGCACGCCAGAAAGCGAGAAAGCATATACTCACATGCTTGCTTCCCAAAACTTGGGGCTTAACCTTAGGAGACCTGGGCACTGGGCCAGCTTTTTGGTGATTAATTGCCCAGGTTGGCTTCAAACTGCAATCCTCAGATCTCCAGCCTCCTGAGTAGCTAGGATTACAGGTGTGAGTCACCATCACCTAGTACTAACAGTTTTAAAGCAGCTTTTAAAAGCAGAAATCTGCCTAAGGCAGGATATGAGAGACATGATTTTTCAATACTCCTCATGTAA